ATAATTTCATTTCGCTTTGATCTCACCCGAATATGGTTCCATGGTGTTCTCCTGGGCAGTTGGACGTTTTGCATTTTTTTGCTATTCTAGGCCTTCGCCTACGAGCTCTACAGAGAACAAGCCGGCTTCCGGCCTTAGAGAGAAATTATCCAATCTGCTCGAGTCTACCACACATTCTACCTCTTCCTCATCCTCGAAGACTGGTCACCACCGTACCAACTCCGCGACTCTCTCTAGAAAGGTCTTCGCATTTTCGAAACGAAGTTGATTTCCTTCCTCCGCTTCAGTGTACCCTCTTATCCTCTCCTTGCCTTGCCTTTGTCTGCCCATGTAATTGCTTTTGATAGGCTGTGATATCAGATCGTGCTTTTTATTTCCCTACCCACCCCATCCTGCCTTCTGGCACATTTTGCATCTTATTTTGATTGCACCGCCACTCTTCTCCATACTATTTTTTCCGATAAATTCGCCAAAATACTCAAACAAAAAATAATACTCAGTGACCTTACTGAACTGGTCTGCTCCTTCTTCTGATTGTCGGAGACAGTGCTTCCTCGAATGCTCGAGCGCATGCTAATCTGCAAGATGAGCGACACAGAATAAGCCAATACTTATGAAGCGTTTCGAAGTTTTAAGCACTTAACCAGACGTAATTACTTTAGTGGAGCAGAGAATAATAAAAGTTGTAGGAGAACGTCTGACAATCAGATATGTCGATAGAAGCGAATATGCGAGTTCTAGGAAGTAGTTCACAAGAAGGAGATGCGATCACGGGAACAAGGATTATATTTTTTCTTGACGTTTCGGATCATGTCGAGAATCATTAATTATAGGTAACGGTAGAATGGTAGGATTGGAGTAATGCATGCATAGTTTTCGAAGTGCATGTATCACTCCAATCTGCGCATTTCTCTTACCATTCTACGATTACCTGTGATTAAGAATTCCCGACAGAATCGGAAACGTCAAGAAAAAATAAATTTTTTTCCTCTGACCGCATCTTCTTGTTCTGACTCAGCTATGTAAAGTTATGAGGGTTTTTGTTTAAAGGATGCAGAAGACTAGTACGAAAGCAGTTTTCTGTGTCAGGTGTCTGTTCCATGACCGAAACAATTTGTTTCATTCTCTGCGTTTTCGGACTCCTACGGTAGTCCATCGACAGATTTGACCTTAAAAGTTGGTGGTTATGGGATCCTGCACTCAAGCAAGGAGCGATTCAGTCCAGCTGGACAGCCATGCAGTCCAACGGATGGCGTTAAGCAGTGTTGGCATGCAGCGCACTACAATAATCACGCCATTGCACACCAACCAGCATCCTCCTTACGTGCAGCGCCAGCCTAAAAGAGCAACAATCAAATATGCTTTATTGCATACCGTGCGCAGATAGCTCTTGTGTATATTTTGATTACACGGGTCGAGTCCTGTCCACCCGCATAAAGGAACAGAAATTGAGAAGAAGCTGTGTCGATCACCGGGATCATAGTTTTGTTAGCCTTAGCTTTCGAATTCCTACAGGACTCCATCGTCAGAGGTAGGCAATAGCAACAAATGGGGGGCTACTTATGTCGTGTGTACCAAACAAAAGTTTTAACGTGTATAAAATCAATAATTGTCTGGTGTGGGCGCCGCTTGGCCCACTATGATTTCGATGACCCCTTATCTGCACAAAGCTTCTTCTTCTTTTCCTTCTCAATCTATACACTTAGCTGGGATGCAAAACTTTTCCTCAAGTTGCGGGAAAATATATTAGCTGTCCGTCGCCGGGACCCCCTGTCTCCTGCGCACGCTGATTTGAGCGCAACCACAGATTTAAGTTGGATAACAATTAAATAGTCGCCATAGCCAATAAAAAATGGCCACGGCTACTGCGGGTACTACCCACCGCCATGGTGACTTGAACGACCACTTTAATCACACATCAACGACCGCTAACTCAGATTCGGTTCCGTGAGGGAAGAATAGAAGTGGGACGTTAGCTGGAAGGAATAGTGTATTCTGTAAAGAAGTGGTAAAGAAGAGGTTGGGGAAAACTGGCCGCAGGACAAGCGTGCATCCGCAGCCGCGAGGGCGGCGTCGGAAGTATCAGAGGGTGGAAGTCGTAACAGCACGTCATACCTGAGCCATCTTCAGGGAGATGATTGGCCAGACCGGATTGGGGCGACAAAAACTGGTGCGCATGCGCCATCAGTCGCGAGAGCCGAGAAGTTGAGCGTTGCAGGCGGTGTTTGGTCGCTACAGACCTTCATGGTCGATAAAGCCTTCTTGCTCCAAAGCAGGTTAGCTCAGAGAGTCGAGACACAGACACCATGAACGTCTACCTACTAAAATTATTACTAGCCGCTACGGCTGCTGTCAGGTCCCGAAACATGAAGCCCAAGGCAGAGCGGGACAGGTGAGTTCCGTAAGCGATTGGTGAACGTTCACTGAGTGTTAATATCTTCCAACATAAACCGGCACGACAACGAGCTCGTGGCTCAATGGTTGCGGCACCAGACTCTGATCAGAAGGTCTTGAGTTCGAGCCTCGGGTGGTCCATCATTTTGGGCTGAGTATGTCTAGCTAACGATGGCTAGTAAATCGGAAGTGGCCACTTCAGTGCCCCTTGTCTTTGCCAGCAATGTTATCTGCTTAGTCTACCATCCGCTACGGCTGCCGTCAAGGTCCGTGAAATGAGGCCCAAGCCATAGCAGGACAAGTGATTTCCCCTAAGGGTTGGAAAGCATAAAAAATTTGTAACTGTTCGCCATATTAATCCTTTCAGACCGAAACGGAGCGAAACGGAGAGTACTTTGGCAAAACAAAATCACCAAATAAAATAAAAGTTGGTGAACGTGTGTTTTTGATCATTCATCATCAGGCGATTAGAATAATGTAAGGACGGCTATAGTGAGTTATGTTTAAGCAAAACGACCATGAAAAAAGTTCGCCGTCCGCTTCCTACCCGTGTGTGCTGAAGACGTGCTTCCTCTTTTTCTAAACAAAGAGTCGCTCGCGACAGCCTTGAAAGCATTTCCGTTCTTAGTTCCACCCACGTATGTTTTCTTCGAGCCCGTTTTGCAAAATGCATGTTGTGGAACAAATTTAACGCCTTTGGGAATAACGCACATGCCGCTTAGTTGAACTCCCTTTAGACTCATCTGGAATACTGAAATATTAACGAAAAGAAGTAGCTTAGTCGTACCAGCTTTTCTTTTTCGTTAAACGATAACCCTTCAACTTGGATTAGCTGAGGAATGTATCAAATTTTAGTCAACGATAATCATTTTTTTTTCTTAAAATACATTTTTTTCAACCCGAATAAATTATTTACATCTTAAGGTCAAAGGCTGAACCCCAAACTTTGGATGCAACACAAGCCGCGTTTAGTCTACGAAAAGGACGTTAGCAAACCGTGTTCTCACGGCCTCGAAAGTTAACACACTGTTCAGTTAAAAATATTCTCCAAATTATCTTTAAATATAACACGACCTCTTTTCGGTAAGCAAGTTATCATTGACAGTGAAGGTCCTGGAGTTAAATAACTTAGCAAATTCAAGCGGGGTTGGCGGCATTAGTCATATCAGATCCGGTGATAACTTCCCAGATATCAACTCAGATCTATCAACTTTGTCAACCTGAATATATCAATATCATTTCAAATATGACGCCCTGGCTTCTCTTCTTCCAAAACTAATAGCAGCATTGCTAGAACAATATGGCTGATATCGAATGATACTATGTTAAAAAAAGTCCGTGTTAGACTGACGTACAAACGGCCTCATCTGAACTCAATCCAAAAACCCTACCGCGTAGTGAACTCACCAACATCATCATTTGATTTTGTGTATAATATCTGAGAGAACGGAATCAGCAAAAACTAGCCCCAATTCTTCAAATTTCCTACTCTGATGTGAATAAATTTGATATTGAAATTCACCCGTATAACCATGCATCACTGTGATTAAATATTTTACTTTAGGATTCCTTCTCCATTTTAATTCCGTAAAGAGTTACTATACTTTTTTCTACGGTATTAGGGAGTACGCTGCTATCAGGTAAAACTTAAGGGGAGCACGTTTACCATCTCTAGGGCGACAGTTTTGACTGTCGATTTTGACGACAGCCCCACAGCAGATCTGCGCAAGGACGGTGGTTTGTGCATGCCTTAGTTACTAGTTGTGGCGGACTTGCTTAGAGTTCCTAGCGAGGTGTGCTGTTGGTCCGCGTTTTTGAGGGCTAGCCGCGCCAGCTACCTGCACCCTACCCAATCTCCGGTCTCCTCGACTCTTATATTGGCATCGGGTACAGATGTGGGAGTGGTGAGGAAGTGGGGGTAGATCCGACGAGTCTACTTGCACTATAATCCGGCCATAGTCATCGCGTCTGCCGTCAGCAGGCTGAACCCCACAGTGGACATTGTCGAGAGCGACGGTCGACCTGTCGGTGGGCTTGCGCTGATAACCATTCAGGCCTCGATCTTTAGCGCACCGGAGTGTACACCCAAACGTAGGCTGTACCTCTGTAGTCAAAAAATGAATATGGGGGACCATAGTTCATGTTTTGCTCGCCGGGATACATTTGTTGGCTTGCTGACGTTTCGGACAGCAGGACCGGCTGTCCTTTGTCGAAGCGTATAATGATTTTAAAGTTGCGGTTGTAAGTGTTGGCCTTGGGCTGATCGAGTTTTCTCCACTCGATGCTTGGCCCTCCGTGTGGATTTCGCCACAGCTTGAGGACAGTTAGTGATCTGTTTTGTCCCCACGGTAGAAGATGCTGGTAATCTCGCTCTCTCTCTCTTCTGGTGGTTTCGTCACAGGGCTATCTTCGTCTGCAAATCCTCACTTCGGTTTGACCGTGTCCTGTCCTTTACTGACGTAATTGTGTAGGATTTTGTAGGCCACGGGCAGGTCCAGATGCCTGTTGACAGAATTGGTGTCTGAGTGCCGTGCCTCAAGCATCAGTCAAATTTCTTACGTTGACAGCGACAACTAAATGTAGACGTATGTCCAAGAAGGACTAACAGCAACAATGTACATGTCGATTTCAGGAATGGGATGGTTGCATTTCCGTATACCGAAAGGTTGCATTGCCACACGTGTCCACATGTCTTATAAATATGGGTTCCGTCAAAACATTCAAGGAGGCAAAAGTACAGTTCCCGCATGTAAATCGCTCAATCAGCAAAATTTAATGCGGCCTATACTTGTAAAACAGTTAAAGAAATTTACCGGTGCTTATATCTGTAGTAGGAGCTGGGGGAATATTTTCTCCAAATATGCTGAAAAAGGA